GAAGTGGTTTGCCAGTGCCTCCTTCCTATCGGTGTTCATTATGTATCCCCAAATTTATCTCAGTTAAGTCTTTTTTCCTCAAAGAAAGCTAAAGGATTACAGAGCTAACTTTTAAAAAACGAAGTGTTTCCTTCCTGCAACCTTTTCAAAATCCTATATATAGTAATTTAAGCAAAAGGCTGAACAATAAACTACTTTCAAAGGGCGGGGGACTTTGGCTTCAGACCTCAGGCTGGGAAAAATATTGTGAACCTTTCAGCAGCCTGGCCTGGACATCTTTTACAGTCATGATGCAATTTGCTTGGGGCTAAGTTTGTTATGCAAAACCAACTATTATGGATTGGCAAAAGCCACAATTTATGCCTTAACTATTGTACCGACCCAGCAAAATATAGTGTTTCAGTAAATCATTTTTAATAAGACAGTGGGGAGCCAGATCACCAATCCAAAGAAGTAGAAAGGGAAAATTACTTCTTTTATTTCTGAATGAAGTGAAGCATTATTTTATAGCTGGGTTTTCAAAATGAGGTACCTCTCAGCTACTTAGCATTTTTCAAAACTCTTGTAAAGGAATTCTTGCATAATTCTTGCAATTATTTCCCTGTAAGTTTAGGCCCAGTGGAAGTAAAATATACCAGAGAAGAAAGAAAAATTATCTCTGACAAGGCTACTTTGACCTGTGTTTGGAAATATGCCGGACAGGGAACATGCATGGAACAATTTCTGCAGTGAATCTGCATTTCCAGTTCTTTTCCTATGTAGAATCCTAATGACTGTATGTTTGATAATATATAAAGGCAGTAACTGGATGCCTCACACCAGGTGTAGTCAAGATTTAATTTATGTGTTCATTGTCTCCCAGGGTGCAGAATTCTGTACATTGAAAATCTCAGAGTTTTTAAATTTCAAAGCTGTGAAGGTTCGTTTCCAAGATGACAGCAGTTGCTTGATCATCGCTTAGAATATGGGAGAAGGGAAAAATGAGTTGGATTTCTACTGGTGAGATACCAGGAAAATGCTGAGAACATAAAACAAGCAGGAACAAATCTAGGGCTCTGTAGCTCAGAGGACCCCAAATTGAATCAGTTGTCCTGATTCTCCACTTCACTAAAGGACCTATGAAGATGTCAACGGGAAAAGAGCCCTTTTTTCAAAACGTGCTCATTTTCCCACTAACAAGTGAGAGCATCTTCTAGTTATTCAACCATCGTTGTGTCCCAACACTACTGAGGACAGGCTTGATATCTCCTCAATAATGACTCGGTAATGCTACAAAGATGCTGTAAGTCACTTCTTTGAAATGGCCTGAAGTCAAGCTACAGGGTTAGAGTGTTGTCATCAGATCACTGAAAAGGGATTGATGTACTCATCAACTAAACCCCCTTGGCAACTGCCTTAAAACAACTGAGAGTAATATGGTCCTTTTGACGTGTGCTTTCATGCACAGGTCTTGACAACAATGACAGACAAGGATGCCTTTTGATTTCCTTGTTTTAACTGCCTCCTTGCACTTGAACACTGAGAAGAGAAGGAAGGAAATGTCAAAAAGATGAGGTGTAACAATTCAGTTGATGT